GTCCCACTTGAGGCTCCAATTTGATGGTTTTTTTTTCCATCCTTGTTGATGATATTACCAATCGACGCTTTAGATATCGCAAAACCATGACTCTCACATCGTTTTTGGATAACGGGAGATTTTGGCTTGCCAAAATCGTCTAAAATATGTGCGAACAGCCTCTGCATTAGCTTATAATTTAAAATAATTTCCTCTCTTTCTTTAATGATATAAATATTATCTTAATGAATGGGAGTTTAGGATAACTAAGACTAGAATGAGTAATTATACAAATTTAGCTAGCAAAAGCTATTTTGTGAGCAGATGCAAAAACTTGTGCCACTGCGATGGTTAAAATGGAACAGAGAACAAAAGTGATTATAAGACTGTCACTCATTGACTTCTAGATATCACTGCAATTCATTAAAAGGTTTTCAGGTGAAAAATCTGAAATCTTTCTTAATCATCGTGTTTTTAGTTATTTTTACTTATGTACACTGCTCAAAAAAATGGGACAGTGCTACATCTCCTGTTCTACTGGGGCGATTCACTAAATTCAAATTGCGTTCTTCACGTCTCGAAAGCGCGACTTAGGATATATATTATATTTATATATAGCACTATTCTAACATCTGTTTTGACACAAACTCGGTCTTTCTCGAAATAACATGCAATTTTTTCCATATTCGTTCTACAACCAAATTATGCCAGAATACCAGTTTTGTAAAAATCGGAGTTTTTAAAAATATTAGCTCTCAAAGTTTGCTCCCAGTGTTATTCAATTGTCAATATTATCAATACCTCTTTTTTATTAAACATTTTTATTTTTTTTTCACAGTTCGAATTTAGTTCTTTCCATAATTTACTGTTTTTGTGTGCTTTTTTTAATTTCTATTTTTAATAATTTTATAATTTTTTGAAAACATTTTGAATATAACCTATAAGATTTTTACCATCATCTAAGTAGGTTATTTAAGCATACCTCAAAAATTAGACTTTTTATTCAAAATTTTTGAGATACACAATTTACATATTTGCGGGTGAAATTTGGCATACTTCTGTCTGATCAAATATTTAATTTATATTATCAAGATTGCACATGATATATTTTATTTGCACTTCAGTTCTACATCAGCTCTAGAGAATAAAATCAATTATATTATTAGAATGACCCTAAGTAGAAACTGCGTGCGAACAGCATCAGGATTAGCACGATCTTTCATGTATCCCGATTGGCAACTACTCGCGCTTAAACTAGGTTAGTTGGTTTTTAGAACACGAAAAACATAGCTAATTTGGTAAGATTTGGTTAAGATGCCTTTTAATAGAGAACCTAGAAAACTACGAAAACCAACCATGCAGCCTCGGTTAGACTTCGCAACAAAAAATATATTTAACAATCTTCAAATGCTACCACTGGTGAGGCTCCAATTTAATATTTTATTTGTAAATATTTAAAATATTCTAAGGCACAAAATGCAGGGTTTAAGTTTTGCTAATGTTTGATTTAAAACTATCAAGCCGTAGTGCAAATGTGTGAATATTCAATTTTTTGAAATAATTGTATTCACTAATATTCTTGGAATAGGGGCTAAAGAAGGAATGTTCTCAAAAGATTTAAAGAAGTGTTTTAAATCCAGTGAGATTAGGTTTGTCTACAAGCTCAGAATCAAAACGATTCTGCAATTGGCCAGAGTAGTTGACTTGTAAATGGCTGTGAATTAAGCAGATGACTTTAATCTTCGTTATTCAGTCAAAACGTTTCCAAATTTTTGGTTTGTATTGCATGACAAGCACCTTTCATTTTCAATAACCAATCGGAGAACCGCTTGTATTCCGAAATAAGTATTGTACCAATCGTCCTGCATTTCTTCAAATTTGTCTTCTTATGATTTTTTTTCTTTCCCAAAAACTAAATTTCCTCTCAAAGGAAAGTATTTTGACATGGAAAGAGACAAAAGGAGTATGACATCTACTTTTAGAGGAATGTTAAAAACAGATCTCTACAAGCCTTCTCTTCCATTACATGTTGTGCATTCAGACAAAAAGTTGTATCAGTTTCTATAACCTATTTTTATTTCACTCTGATTACTTTATTAACATACAGTGAATATATACTAACTCTTTTACTTCTGTTTCAGTAATTCGGAATTTTTGACGGAATTGTTGTCACAACTAGGACTTAGAAGATAAGTCAAATTAAATATTTAGGATAATCCAATAAATTCAAGGTCGAAGCTTCAATATTTTATTTTCGGAGGGAGGGGAATTTTTTCAGTTTTGGTCTATTATTCTAAGCATATTTTGGCTTCGATTCTTTATTTTTCCATAAAAGCAAAAATCTTACGCATGGTATACATATTACACATAAGCTTCAAATTAAATTTAATATATAACAGGGTGATTTAATTAAAGTTTGACTTTGAAAGTCATAAAAGGAAAACTACTGGACAAATGGTATTAAACTTGGTAACCATGTAAGGAAGTCATGGGAATTTATTTTCACGAAAAAAGAAAGTTCGAAACCTCCCCACCAGGGATGAAATGGCGCTGTATGCAATATTGTTAAACGAATAGGGTCGGAAATAAACTTAATATTTTTTCTTACACGGTTTTAATATGTTGTATACCCTTAAAAAACTTTACTAATTAAATAAGATTTTAAATTCGATAAAGTCGAGTGGGCCATCCGTGTAAGGGAGAAATCGTCCGTGAAAAACACGTTTAGCGATTAGAAAAATGTGAGATTGCAATTCCCGCACAAGTGCGTAACAAAATCGTTTTCTACAGATCGCTAATTTGTAATTTTTAAGCCTGAATTCGTCCCTAAGACATGAAGATAACTGATTCAAAATGCTTTAAATGATTTCGGCCAAGAATCCTCATATTACCTACCTAGTTCCATTGCATTCTCCTACTGCATTCGATTGCATAGTAGGCATTCCACACCATTTAGTGTATACCAAGATGTTTCTAAAAGTTGGATGCTTTTTAATATAATTGCAGAATGCCTAAAGAAAAAGAGCAAGAATGAAGCAAATGCCTGAAGAAAAGAGAAGAAAAATACATTTTTGCGTAAATTATTTCTACTTTTTTTTTTTTTTTTTTTTTTTAATTTGAACTTTTTCTTTATGATTTTAATTCTTGCAATTTCAAAAATAAATATTTGACTAAAATAAATACATTTTTAAGAAACCACATGTAGAATTGTTAAAGAACTGGGCCAATGATAAAACTGTTTAAAGCAGTGTTGCAAGTCATCGTCCTTATCCATCTCTCTTATTTCTATATTTCTTCTGAACGGAACTTGAAAGGGTTAACTGTGCTTTAACTGTAATTTCTCTTTAATATATGCAGTTTTCAAATGCATCGTTCGGCTTACAAATATTCTTCCGAAAGAAACGCAATTCAAATAACTGAAATCAATTCTGAAAATGTATCTTAATAAGTATATTTAAAAATGCTCAGTTCGAATGAATAATAGAAAATTTAAAATATCTATCGAAGAGCATCAACACACAATTAAATAAAAGTCTAAAATTAAAAATTACCATAAAATAGTACTATGCTAAAAATATAGTATAAAGAAAACTATTGGAAAAAAAAAATAAATAAATTTTGCACCTTTGATTTAAACTACGAGTTCGAATAAGTAAATAGAAAATTTTTAAAACAGTTATTCGAAGAAGTATGCAACGTAAACAATAAAATAAATTTGAGAAGAAAAAATTGCTTAATTATAACAATTAAATTAAAAATATGATAAAAACATTATTTGAAGTAAGAACAATTGGTCTTTTTTTCCTCTTACGTACTATGTAAAAATGGAAATGAAATAGTTTGCCCATATTAAAAGTTCGCCAAGTGAACTAATTTTGGCACAAACTGAATAAAAGCGGCCACATAATTGTGAATTTCTCCATAAATTTCGCCACCAAATTTTCAAAATTTAATATATGCATAATTTGAGTCACAGAATCGAAATATGTAAAACAATTGGCATGTTATTTCAGAAAAAGTCCGATTTTGTGTCAAAATTCCTATGTTAGAATAGTGCTATATATAAGTCTAATATATATCCCAAGTCGTGCTTTCGAGACATGAAGAACGCAATTTGAATTTCGTAAATCGGTCCAGTAGAACGAGAGATATAGAACTGCCCCCCCCTTTTTTTTTCCGAGCAGTGTACATAAGTACAAATGTGATGCACATGCATGTGATGTCTTGTGACATCACAACATTCTCATAATATCAGCGCTTTTGTTAGATGTAACCGTGATTTATTCTCTATAGATCACCTTTTGTTTTTATGAACAAGGTTTTAAATTAGCTCTTATTGCTATATTTCTCCCTTGCACTGTGGAAGTATTATCCTGTTGATGGTGAAACTGTCGCATGACATCGTAACACCTTGAGTGCTTTTGTTAAATGTAACCCTGATTTATTCTCTATAAAGTCACCTTTTGTTTTTATGAACAAAGATTTAAGTTAGCTCTTAGTGCTATATTTTCCCCTTGCATTTGGGGGAAAAAAGAAGAAAAAGTTTGAAGACTGTAGAATCACATTTGCAGCTACTGTGGTTTATTTGCAGCTTGTCGAAAGAATTTACAACTATTGGAAGGGGTGGCAAACAGCTGGATATGCCAGACAAAATAGTTATTAGGTTGAAGCAAACACCCGTGAGAAATTTTTAGTTATAACATTCGAAATAGAACTTCAGTAAAATCAGAGGATTGGCAAGATAATTGAAATTGATGAAGTTTTTTTACTAAGTTACCTGAGTACTTTTGTAGCGGTAGCTATCTGGTGCATTGTGCAGAGACTGGTGATATTTCATTGTAAGAGTTACAAATAGAAATGTGTGTCTGAGTTCTGTATGAATAACTGATACAACTTTGGCATGATCTCTGCTAACTTTCATAGTTTGATTGTAGCCAGCTTTTACAATCAACAGAATAATACATAAATACTTTTTTTTAAGACTGTAATTGGTATTTGACTAAAGTAGAATATATTTTTAGGTGGTTTAGATTTATCGTATACAGCTTGTACTCGTCTAAATGAAGTTCTTGGTTTAGACTATTCTGTATATACTACTCTGGCTGCACATGAATTTTTTGCTGCACAGGTTAGTTGTTTCTCTGAATTTAAAAAAAAATAAATTTTATAGGTATGTACTCATAAAGCTTTTTCTTTTCATTTCATTTTTAAATTGTTGAAATAATTACTTTTGTATTATTAAAGGAATATAAATCTTTCCTTCAGTTTTAATTTAACTAAATTGTATGATTTTTAAAACTGAATTTACTTTTGTTATCAATTTATACAGTTTAATAGTTTTCAGTAATTTATATATTATTTATTTATATTTGTATGTAAGTTATTTAAAATTAAGGCTTCAATTTTTTATTTTTATGTAATAATTTTCATTATGTTGTCATATTTATCTTTGTGCATGTGCTTGCTGTTTAGAGCTTAGAATCATCTGCAAAATTTTTATCTCTTAGAAATTGGATCAAAATTTGAATTTCCACACTTGAAATTAGCATTGCTAGAGTAACATGTATTACTAAATTCTGTGAACTAGGAAAATGTAGTTGTCATTCTTGAGTTGATGCATTGGTCAGGTATAATTTTTTTTAAGTAACTTTTATTCCTTAATTTATTTAGAAATATGTTGCTTCAGTATGAAAAACTAAAAGATTTTTACAAAGTATTTGGAAATCAAAACTCTCTTTTTTATGAAATGTAGCAAAATCGGTGTTTATTTTTTTAATAAAAGTGCAAGCTAAAAGTAAATTCTTAATTATTTTTTAGTGTAAATAAACTGCTGTAAAATATTCATTCTGCTTTCTTAGTTTAAGCATTTATAATTTGCTAGAAGACTTCCCCCCCCCCAAATTATATAGCTAATTTTTAATGCTCCGTACTGAAATTTTTTAGTTTACCGACATTCAGATAAGAGTTTAGCATTCAGATTTGTTCTTTTTTTTTAAAAGGTGTTTTAAATAAAAATTGTATGATTGTTGATGAACTTTCTGACATTTTGCAAAGTGATTTTCTTGGGTGTTAAATCAACATGTGGATTTTAAATAAATGACTAACTGTATTTGTTTACTCTTTGTTTATTTTTTATTTGTCATAAAACTTATATAAGTATTATTTTTTAAGGTTTGATTTTTAATGAAAAAAAAAGGAAGCAAACATTTTTAAAAACAATTGTATTTACATATGCCATTCTCTATTCTATATAATTTTCTATCTTTCTATGTAATTTCCTTATTGGTTTAAATGTTTATTATAACAAAGAATGGGGTTTTTGGATATCTCTGCCACCAGTGATGATAGCCATATTCCTGATCATTTTCACTTTTTATTAATGCCTTGACCTTCCTTGAATAATCTCACCCATTTTCACACTTTACTGCCTCTCAGTTCATTGTCACCAGACACTTCATATATGTAGAGATGAATATTTGCAGTTTTCATGTTTCTTACAGTTAAGAACCAGATGACATAGCAGTCATCTGGTCAGCAAGCAGTCGCTTTACTTAAATATGTTAACATCACACTCTGAAACATGCAGGTGGCATCTGATAACCCCTTACTCGCTGTGCCCGTGTCTCATACGGGCAACCAATACGAATAAATTTTGTCATGCCCGTATCAATTCTTGGCAGCACAATACTTGTAAGTTGATTAGATAACAGTAGTATGTAGATTCGGAATACTTTTTCCGTTAGAACATATTTTGAAAGGATGCAGTGCTCATCACTTTTTTGTGTTTAATGTTTGTAAAATGAGTAGTTCAAGTGAACAAGAGGATTTAAGTCTTGAAGAATCGGGAAGTGATTCAGAAGGCAGCATTTTTTTCAGATGCTTTTGATTCTGAAGTATCGGATTCTGAAGATAGTGACAATCCCACACAACTTTTACCAGGGCGCCAATGGAACCAAATTATGTCGGATATCCCAGATATTTGTCCTCCACATATTCAGTTCAAATTGTTGTCTGAAGTGGGTATTTCATTTCAAGTCAGTGTAGGTGTTTTACAATATTATTAACATTTTATAAATGATGAAATAGTTGATGTAATTGTAAAAGAGACTAATCGTTATGCTGAGCAATCAGGTAATGTTGTTGGGAAAAGGAAACTGAAAGGTAGAAGAGACTGGAAATCTGTATCAGCACATGAAATCCATCCATTCCTTGCACTTTCAGTTTTATAAGGTATTATAAAAAAAAGAACTGAAGAAAGCATATATTGGAATAAGAAAACATCAGTAGAAACTCTTTTTTTTCCGTAAGATAATGTCATATAATCAATACTGTGAAATCAAAAAATACTTGCAGTCTGTGAACAATGATTCTTATGATCCAGAAAATCATCCCAACCCGAAACTCTACAAAATGTGGCCTATCTGTGAGCATCTGAATAAAGTATATCAAAAAACAATTACTCCAGAAATACATATTACCATAGATGAAACGCTGATGTTCTACAGAGGATGTTTATCCTGGTGCCAATACATAGCCTTGAAAAAAGCAAAATTTGGTATCAAAATATACATACTAAGTGAATCTAGTTCTGGTTATATATGGTCATTTATCATATATACAGGGAAAGGTACTTTGTTTCATCCTAAATTCCAATCTCTCTCAGTACCTTCACAAGTTGTTATGAATCTGATGATGCCATTTTTGAAACAAGGTTACTGCATCACCTTAGATAATTACTATACTTCACTAGAATTATGTGATATCCTTTGCATTGAAAAATAAAAAATTAAAAACTAACGAAGTTACATCATTTAGACGCGACAAAATCTTCGCTTTCTAATGGAAGGATAAAAAGGAAGTAACAATGTTATCATCTTTTCATGATTCTAAAACTGTCGAAGTAATGACCCAAAGTAAAAAAATGAAAACAAAACCAAAGGTAGTAATTGACTACAATAAAATAATGGGAGTTATGGATCTTGTAGATCAGTATCTTTCTAGTTATCAAGTAACAAGAAACGGTGGGAAAAATTATTATTAAAAAATATTCTTTCACCTTTTAGACCAAGCCGTTTTCAAGGCTTTTCAAGTTTATAAAAAAGTAGGTGGAAAAAAGTCACATCTAAAGTTTAGACTGGATTTAATCGATGAAATAATTGACAAATACCATTATCAGTTTTTCAAGACGAGATTGTCTATCGAGTGAAACGCCATCAAATCGTTTATTTGAACGACATTTTTTGAACCTATACCACCTACAGAAAGAAAGAAAACCCTTCCAGAGAATGTAAAGTGTGTTCATCAAAAAAGAATGCAAATGGAAAACGAATTAGGAGAGAAACGATGTATTATTGTAAAGATTGCAATGTAGGACTGTGCATACCATGTTTCAAACTTGACCATACCCAGAAAAAGTATTAATTTTTGAAAAAATATTACAGCTATTATCGATTTTGAATAAAAGCTTCACCATCTGCAGATAATAGTGTGCATTATTTAAACGTACGTTATTTTTCTCTCTCCAAAATTTACATGTAATCTTAAATGCCTGTATTAAAGCTTTTCTCCCAGCTTGGGTGTAAAAGGAAAGCCAAATATAAAGAAAATAAGGTAAGTTAATAAAAAAATTGTACATATTTAAAAAAAATGTTAAATTTAACAAAAAATATGGTGTTTTTTATATTAATTTATTTTAAATTTCATAAGCATTAAAAAACATTAATAAAAAATTAATGATTTTTTAATAAATTTTGTCAAAATTTTGCAATGAGTAAGGGGCTGTGAAGCATGCAGGTGACATCTGATAATGCAAAAAGAATGCCGAGAGCCTGTGTGCATGCTCATTCTTGTATGTGCGCAAATTTTCAAACTGTAATCAAAAACGAACCTTACTAAAAAGTAACCTATGCATATTCCAAAAACAAATTCATAAAAGAAGGTATTTATATTATATAGTAAACTTTTTTATTACTGACCCGCTAATAAAAAATTTTTACACCTGTCAGTTTATTTTCAAATTTGTTTTAGGCTATCTTACATTTTGGATCTGAAGAACAAAAACAAAAATATCTTCCCCTTCTAGCTTCAGGAAAACTTATTGCAGCTGTGTGTTGTTCTGAAGTAGGAAGGTATGTTTCTGGAATGTTAAATTTTAATACTTTTATATTTTTCAAATAAAATAATTTGGTACTTGCATATTATTGCAACCACCTTAGTAGAATCTATGACAACCGTGCTCGTAACAGTTCTTTGGCCAATCTTTTTTTTTTAACAGTGGGCACTATTTTGTCTTTTTTGACATTGGCCACTGCTAAGGCTGGAAATGGTGACCATTTTATTGTGGAAGCATCTAATAGGCAGCCACCGTTACCTCCTATAAAGGGATGGACAATCACAATCATGCCTTATCCAGGATTGAAACCCAGGCCCTTCGGTATCATAGTTGGCTTCCCTAACCACTATACCATCTGGGCAGCCTTCAGACACTCGTGCATATAACAATTTTTCAGTTTTGTCAACGAGCATCACCATTTGTGTTATGCGTTATTTTTCTTGTACTCCAAGCTCCAGTGGTTTTTAATACTCCCCCCCCTTTTTTTTTTTTTTTTTTTTTTTTTTTTTTTTTTTTGTCTTTGGTGATTTTTTAAATATATGCTCATCAGATTTCCTTGCATTGGACAAAATTGCGATACAATTTTTACAGGAATACAGCAGTTAGCTGTACAGTAGAAATCGTAAAAGAAACAATTGCTTTGAATCTGTTCTAAAAGCAATGAGCATGAAATTTTCATTGTACTAAAAGAAATAAACACTGTTTGCAGGTGGGCTTATTGATTGATTTTTGGAATAAAATGCTAATTAAAATGTAAAATATGTATATAGTAATATATGTACATGCAATTAAATATTTTTTGAATGAGTAATTATCACTTTGTTTCTGTGAAAAATCGCCAGATTACACTGAGGTGGCTGTGCTGATATGTAAGTACCAACAGTTTATAGATTTAATTATTTGTATGAGACTATTAAGATTATGTTTGAATCTATCAGCATCAAAAAATTTTGTTATTCAGTGTGTTTTTATAATGCAGTCATTTTAATTCAGTCAAAATCATTAAATTGATATGTTTGCACTTTTAAAATTTTTGCTTCTATATATTTTATCCTTTGCCAGATTCCTATTTAAGACGGTCTATATTTTATGTGTGTATTTCTCTTTGTGTTTATAATTATCTACTTTCTCATTGGGAATTATTCTAGCACCATTGCAAAAATTTTAAGGTTTGTTACATAAGGGAGTGATAGATTTGGTGAACGGCCTTCTAAATTAAAACAGCATATAGGAGGTGTTCGAAAGATAATACAGAAATGGAAAAAAAAAATCTGGCAAATGCCTTCCACATCTGCCATTTATTCAGTCTTTTAATAAAATTTGCAATCACATTTTTGCAGACCTGGGGCTCAGTTGTTATAATAACAATCAGACTTCGTTAAGTTCATGAATTGTTGGTCTGTGCTATAAACTTTAAACTTTACAAATCCCCAGATATAAAAGTCACACTATGTAAGGTCACTTGACCTTGGTGGGCAGTTGTGATCACTGTTCGATAAAATCATTTACCATAAAATGTATCTTTAACAACAAAATGGTTTTACACACTGCATGATACTTGGCACCATCCTGTTGGAAGAACATCTCATCAACAACGAAACCTTGGCTTCAAACTGAGGCCACATAAATGCTGTTATAATCTCATGATAACACCATTGACAGTTACTGCACTTCCAAACTTTTCATAAGAAGTCCAGCTGAATAATTCTACCACACCAAAGTACAAGTCACACATATACTCATTTGGGGCTTTTCTTCAACAATATCAGGATTTTCTATGTGTCAAATGTGGCAGTTCTACTTGTCTACATACCTATCCAGATGAAAGTGACATTTCCAAAAATTCACTGACTAGCACTTGCAGCATCAGTGCTTTTGGCCAAGCATCCAGTACAAAGACGACCATTTCTTTTTTTGTCCATCACTGAACCTGTTTGTTTAAATTTTTGAACCAGTCTGTTTACCATGTTTCTCCATCAAAAAATACTATGTAATGTGTGGATAATTCCAGTACATCAGTCTCCATATTTTCAATATATTTTTTACAGTAGTTATGCAACTCTGCATTGTGTATTTCGCCATCATGATTAACCGACTACTAACTGGAATACTGATATTCCTTCATGATTAACTCACTAATAACTAATGTGCTTCAGACAGCATTGCCAAACCAATGGGGGGGGGAATATGGTGAACAAGTTAAATCCTACATTAATTTTGAGGCACCCTTTATTTATGATACATTTGAAGTAAGAATGGCAATTAGTCTGTCTAATATTTATTTTATCAATTGAAAGTTTGCTTAGAATTTTTTATAATAAAATTTTAAAGTTTAGTTTTGAGTTTTTATTGTGAGTTAACCCCTAGATTAAGAGTGTGAGTGATGGTTGTCGACTGTACACCTATAAAAAATAGGTAAACAGTTGACCAAGCGCCTAGTGCAGGGTTAAATATAAATATTGTTAAGTATAGCATAGTTCATATACATTCAACCAGTGTAATATTAATTTCCTTTTAGTTTTGCTTTAAGTGGCAACAGTTGTAAAATGTTTTTAAGTTGATAGAATAAACATGTTTGGTTGTGTTTAAATTTTTGGGAGATTATTTAGGTTGATTTTGGGAGATTATAAGTTGATGAATGAACAGAATGGTATACATTTACTGTCATATCTAATAAATATAAAGGATAATGATGATGTTAGTGTTAGCATTTAATTAGTTCCTTCATTAAAAACACATTCCGTCAAACATTAATTGTTAAATATTTGCTTTATTCAGAAACATTACCGTCAACATTACTGCTCAAAAACTTACAGTTCAAAAATATTATCGTTCTGAAAAAAAACTGTTGTTGCCAATCGGGAAAATACATTTTAAATAAAATTAATACGTTGCGTTTACATTCGGGCATCCTGACTTAGTTACGACCTCGGAACATTAAGAACTTATATTTAAAAATTTAAATCTGTAATATGAATGTTTATAGTTCGAAAGTCTTTAGCTGTCATATAGATTCACCGTCGTTTTCTATTCTTTTTCCGTGTCCTAGTTTTAGTAATATGCGGAATGTTGTTATCGTTATCCTCAGTAACACTAATGTCATCACCATCATCATCATCTTCTTCTGATTCAGCTTGACACTGCCATGACTTTAATTGGCTCACATGAGCTGTCGTACTAAAGAAATGTCCTTTCACCTTCTCTTCTAATTCACTCTATAGGTATCACTTGGTAAAACGTCTGTAACTACCAAAGGTCCTCGATACTTTTGTTGTGTTTTGGTTGATTCTCCAGTTGATTTAGGTACTCTTCTCATAACTACTATTTCTCCTCATTCGAATGTTAAAGAATTACTTTTCTTCCTGTCATAATTTGCTTTCATTTTCATCTGCATATCTTCAATTCTCTTCTTTAACTTCTTCCTTTTTAGATGCTCTCTTTTACCAGTAATTACTTTCTTAGGAGATTTGTCTATTCCCTCATTTATCTTAGATTGCTTTGCAGATGGATTTACATCTTCCCGAGTTTTTTTATTTCCTTTTGCAATATCTTTCTCCGGTTGTCTTTTGTTTTGTTTCTCAAAAAACTTATTTCCCTTAATTTTGTTTCTTCACCAGCAAAATTATCTATTACAGTTTCTTTTTTGTAAACTTTTTTCTTTCCCTGTATTAAACTCTTTCTCGAGTGCTGTAATTTTACACTTATTACTATATTTCTTAAGCTTTTGATTATAATGCTTTTCTTGAATAGACTTACATTCTTTAATATCATTGATGCCATCACTTCTAGCTTCTTCTTTAGGATACTTATTCTTCACTTGTATTCTGTTTAACGATTTTCTTTGAAGTCCCTTTCCTTTTCAGTGATTTTCTACTTTGGAATTAGTGACTTTTACAGTATTTGTATTTTCAAACTTTCCATCATTGTCCAGAGTTTCTGCCTTTTTATCGTTGTAGTTAGTGACTGGTATCACTGTTTCTCCCTGTATTACTTCCAATAATGAGCCCAAGTCATCTTCCGATCCACTTTTTAAAACATAACCGTTATTTATTTCATCAGTTTTAACTTTCACGAAATTAACCGTATTACTTTTGATTTGAGTTTCTTGGGAAGCCTTCAGTTTAATTCGCGGAGTGTTGCTATCATTTTGCAACTGTGAAAATGGGCAGTCATTAACATTGCGTATGTGCAAGGTATTACCTATCTTGGCGTATGCAATATGCGGTAAATCAATCCATGTTCGACCAACTAATAAGTCGCATGGTTGCGTTTCATCTCCTACAATTAGAACTGTAATGTCCTTTCCTTCCACATTATCAATCTCTAAGTTAACAGTTACTTTTCCCAATGTTCTAGCGGCTGGTTTATTCTGGTTCCCAAAGCCAAACAATTCCTCCACATCAGGTTTTATAATAAGATTCAGTCTCTTAGCCGCAGACTGTTTCAATAAACACGAACTAGAACCCGTATCTATGATTGCAGTAATTTCTTCTCCATTATTGATGCGAGCATACTTTAAATATACAGCTGGTGAAACACCTGAATTCTGGTCCACGGATAAATTATTTTTAACATTTGTCAAGTCTGGATTCTTAGACGTACACTTTTTAAAGTATGACCCTTTTCATTACATTTCCTGCAAATAATTTCTTTTTTAGGTTGAGGACAATCCGTCGCTATATGTCCATAATCATTACAATTGAAGCATTTCGGCTCACCCTTTTCATTGCGGATGCCAGAATTATATTCCCTTTTCCTTTCGTCTGTTTTATAAAATTTATCTCTCAGATTGTATTTATTATCAAAACTGTTTTTAAAACCCACTTTGAAATTACCATCTGTCTGCATGGAATCGTTAACATTTCTTTGTCTTGAATACTGATTATAGGATCCTTCATAAAATTTAGAACCAGATTTGGGCTTAAAATTATGCCTAAAAGTTTTATTTTCTACTTGAAGTACTTTTATCCCTGCCCGAATATTTTCATATTCATCTAGTTTTTCAGCCAACTCTTCAGGATTAATGAATTTAGACCAATCATCAATGAAATGGTCTCGGATAGCAGCGGGGACCCTCTTCTTTAATTGATCAGTAATAATAAGTTGTTTTAAAGAGTCAAAATCTGTTACATTTAATCCAGCAAGCCACTCTTCAAAATAATTTTTTAATTCAAACGTGAAGTCCTTCCACGTATTACGCAACGTTTTAATATGATCAACGAACTTTTGCCGAAACTGTTCAGGGCTTAACTTAAATTTTCTCAGTAGCAGTTGTTTAACGTGCTTATAGTCGTTAGCTTTTCTCTTCTGATTCACGGGCAATTAATTGAGTTATTTCATAAGGCAATAGACCCAACAGCTGAGAAACCCAGTTTTGTTCTTCTAACCCAATACGTCGTGCCTGTCTCTCAAATAAAACTAAATAAAAACTTATATCACCTTCATTCAAATCATACTTATGCATTAATTTACTCATATCACAAATATTACTTCTACTAACATTAGAAGGAACAGAATCATTTACATTACTACTTCTGATTTCCGCTTCTATTTTCAATTTTTCAAGTTCAAATGCTCTTTGCTTATCTTTTTCTATAATTTCCATTTCAAATGCTCTTTGCTTATCTTTTTCTATAATTTCCATTTCAAATGCTCTTTGCTTATCTTTTCTAAAATTTCTAACTTTTCCCTGTCTAAACGATCATTTATAATTCTATCTAGCATTTGTTTAGTAAAGTCTTCGTTATAATTCTTACTATTCAAAATCATATCTCTTAAGCCTACAATTTTAATATCAGAAGGGACATCTACATCAAGTTCCAAAGCAAGTTCTTTTAAATCACATTTTTTGCCTCTTGCCAAATAAGCCATCTTAGACTTCAATTTTCAAATAATAATACAATAATTATACTTAAGTTCTTTCCGTTTAATACTTAGACATAACATAAACAGTTTATAAATTCACGTACCTTTCTACTTTCAGTTTTGGCGAGTTTCCACATTCAGTTTAGGCTTAGCGTACGTTAAGGCAATACGTTGTTAAATCTAGATAATAATTCTAGTTTATCCCACTTCTGAAATGTTAGCATTTAATTAGTTCCTTTATTAAAAACACATTCCGTCAAACATTAATTGTTAAATACTTGCTTTATTCAGAAACATTACCGTCAACATTACTGCTCAAAAACTTACAGTTCAAAAAATATTATCGTACTGAAAAAAAACTGTTGTTGCCAATCGGGAAAATACATTTTAAATAAAATTAATACGTTGCGTTTACATTAGTTTATTTATTTCTATCTGAATAGATTTTAATGTCTCAGATTTGTTATAATAAAATTTGTTTATTATAAATTTAATCTTCTGTCAGTTATCCATGTGCAAATTAACTATTATCACTTGAAAATAGTCTTTGACATTTTCTCGGATATAGAAAAGTTGATGACCTTTCAGAAGGCACTTATAGTTTTATAGTTTTTCTTGCAGTAAATCTCACTGTGACAGCTTGAAGTGGAAAACTTAATTAATTCATGGCTGGGGGGAAAAAAACTCATCCTTAATATATTAAAAACAAAAAGATTCTGATGAAGAAAAACGGCAGTGAGCCTCAATAAAATTATTTCTAGTGTTTAGGGGATTAAGCTAAATAAAAATTAGAATTGTGGATGGAAAAAAGCTAAAAATGTGAAACATTAAAAGTACTTTTCCATTTCGCCGGCGCAAATCTCGCCAAGCAGACTTTATTGGCGACAACATACAGTATACACATAAAAAATATTTAAAAAATTTATAGTTCTAAGAATTCTTTTTTAAAGGAATAAACATTTTAATATCGCTTAAAATTTTGTAAAAAGACATTAATTTAACAATTTACTATGCTTTCATGGTTCAACATCCTGATTCGCCAGTTCATATCACGTGACCCCAAGCGATCTCATCTCACGTAAACTACTCTACAAAAATCTAATGCTCTCAGTAATTATCTACATTAATTTCAAGTTAAATCTTAATTTGGAACACAAGTTTAAATGCAAGCAATATTTCAATGCGTACGAATAGCTTACTCAGAAATTATGTAAAACTGCAGTGCTTTACTTCGCTAATGCATTCTCATTAGAATTGATGAATTTAACCCTTGACTTTACCTTTTCTATATTTTCGGCTTCGGGTATGCGCTGTGATTGCATCCTAATTGACTTAATTACTGAAAATGGCCTTAGACATAAAACTGAACTATCTGATAAAAATTCTATGTAATTATATGCCAATATTGAAAGAAACAATCAATCTGATAAGAAAAAGCTGCGACTTGTTTTGAAAATGAGGCATAAAGGTTACCAGCGAGAATATTCCGTTTGGCATCGGTTGTACCATTATTGGCAACTTTATCGCTTGCGCCGGCAAAACGGAAAAGTACCACATTATATTTTATCAGATCAAAATGTACTTTCTGCAGTAAGGATAATGAAGATTAAAATAAAATAGCAAAAGTGCCCCTATGCAGCAATGGAACATATTGACATGTGGTTAGCCTGTAAAATTTAGATAAGTTATTTTGGAATTTAGTGACAGAATAACTTTGCAATATTTGTCACACTATCTGAAAAAATATCAGCATACCTTTCAAAAAAGAAATATTCTAGGAGAAAAACTGAAAATCTAGTAAATTTTATTGCTTTTATTAAACCCTTTTTTAAATAGTACATTATATGTCATTTTTCTAAACTTCTGAAAAATCTATTGTTACAGTGCCATGCAATTCATTGCTGTGTCACATGACTTATTTTAAGTTATCTGTGTATACCTATAAATTAATTAGTTGGGATAATTAAGATTTTAGCTTATTTTTATTTTTGTTTTGATGTAGCATTAGAAAAACTATTTTTGAAATGAAAATTCTTATAGTTAAAATAACAATATTCTTATAGTTATTCTGAAGTTAAAATTTGTCTTAACGTTATCTCTGATTTCAATAAAAATCTAGTTCAATTAACTGGGAAATAAAATAAAATTTTGGTTTTAAATAGTTGTGATCAAATCAGCCATCATGAAGTTGGCTATTCATAAAACTAATTCATAGAATGAGTCTTTCTATTCTCATGATATTTCTTATTTCAGTTTAGTATAACATGGAGTAGGACTCAGAAAATTCAAAGATCAGGAGATGTAGAACCAAGCACAGTAGCAAACCTTTTGTAATTTGAGTGAATCCTCTATTAAAGAGCAGTGTCTTGTAATTAATATGTAATATTATTGTATGATTGCTTTTAGCATAGCTTACCATTATTACACAATCACATACAATAAATTAGTAAACAATTACTTTCTATCTCTGTGATATGGACACAACAGGTGTGACTTTTTTGTACAGCCTAAATTACACACATTTTTTGCTGCACTTCATTTGAACTTATTTCAAGTTATTCTAACTTGATTAACTAATTCCTCAAGCCAACTTCAAAAATGACATCAGAATTTGCAAATTTTGAAATTAATTCTCCTGGTCAATTTTTCTTGTACAAGAGTCAAACTTCTTGTTTTATTTTTAATAACGAGTGTAAAACTTTCACAAATATAAGAACTGGGAAATTGTATTAAAAGTTAGATTTTGTTTATATGTCCAAAAACTTTTTTTTTAAATTTCACTTTGCCAAAATATGAATATTTTCATCATTTAAAACACTTCTGTAATTGGAAGTATACGACTACAACCAACGATTGTGAAAATAATAAATTTGACATCAGGAAATCTAATTTTTTGGGGGGCAGTATGCCAATTACATATATTTTAGAGGGATGTCAAAAAAAGAGTCCCTCCTCTTTTAATATTTGATTTTTCGAAGCTAGATTATTTCTTTAAACATTTGTTTTTATAGTTTAAATTTTAAAATGATGATTATATTTTCATTAAATATGTAGAACATTTTCTGAAAAAAGTATAATATATATTACATAATAATTTTTTAAAAAATTTACCTTGCAGTGGTTCTGATTTACTGTCTATATCCACTGTAGCTAAAATGAATACAAATGGAAATTTCATTTTGACTGGTTCAAAATGTTGGGTTACAAATGCTGAATTAGCTGACATATTCATTGTGTTTGGAAAGACTCCTAATTTAACAGTAAGTTAGTTTTTGTACTTTTCATGTTCTTTCTCCTTCTTTCATACTATGATTAAAACATTTTACTCTCTTCTTAAAGTTCATAAACCCTGTGCAAAAACTGAATGTTATAGACTTGGTATTCATATCTTTCTTGGAGAGGTAAGTTCTAAAGTTTGTTGTAATCATGAAATGAACTTGTCTGTGTAAGTTCATATGGTCCTCAGATTTTTTTAGGAATGATTTTTGGTTCTTCAAAGGACTGCCATTTTGTGCTAGAATCAACATTTTAGGAGAATATTTTTTGGAAATTGATTGACAAGTATGTATTTGATGGCTTATCCTCTGAATTAGTTCCTACTTCTAATTAAAAAAAGTGTGATACTCAAAGTTTCTAGGCGTAAGCCTAGGTTTATTGAATCACACACGAAGTATATATGTTTTGTGTTATAAAATTCAGTAAATAAAAATACAAATATGTATTTGATGGCTTATCTTTTGAATTAATTTCTACTTCTAATACAAAAAGTGTAATGTGATACTCAAGTTTCTAGGCATAAAGCTTAAATCACTTTAAAAAAAAGTTGGGAATGAAAAATTTATAACATACATTTTATTTTAAATTTTATAAATTAATAACATTTACATCAAAAATAGCTTTTTTTCTTTTTGGGAAATGAATATTTATTATGTGACATTAAGTTTAACAATTTATCAACATTCTGATGATTTTAAAATCTGATTTTTATATAAAATTTTGATTTGCAGATTTTGTGAATTTTTTTACGACTTTTTAGTTGTTCTGACTGAATATCATAAATGAAACGCATAATTGTCTGTTATTTTAAACTCTAACATATTCTTAGGTGGATTTTAATAGTGCTTTTTTAAATGGATATTTTTCTAATAAAAGTTTTTTAATAGTTACGATATATATCTGTAATGACTAAGTGTATTTAACTACCTATTTTATGTATTTATAACCAGCTGCTGAGCTTAAGAAGTTATCTCTTACATATATCTTATATAAGATAAGATAACATATATTATGTTATCGTATCTTATACAGAGTTATCTCTCTGTATTAAGGCATGTTATCACCTTTCCTTATTGGATGTGAGTTACAATACTAAAATGTAAAAATTAGTATAAAATGTTACTCCTTAATAAAATACAAAATTAAAATAAATCTTAATACAAAACTGCTTATCCCTGTTGGTGTTTCAGTGGCTTATTGGAACTTTATAGTATTGTTACGAAATGTATAGGTACAATAAGATAGCTTCCTTGTAAAGCAGTTTTAGGGTTGCCATAATATTGCAAAGGAAAGCCGAGATGCCACAATTCGCAAGAAATCGTCCATTTGGCAACCTTTAGCACGAAAATTGGCGATATGCCATGGATGGATGGAGAACCTTCTCGAACGAATTCTAACTGGTTTAGCTCAGAATGTTCTCGAACACAAGTCAAAAACTATATAAAACCTGCTGGCCCGCAGTCAGTTAGAAAGAGTGCCTTGTCGAGAGGGCGAGACAGTTAGTCAGTCCGTGCGGAGTCGATTGAGTTGACAGCCGAGTGGGTCGTCGAGTGCATTGAGAGAGTCTTTTAGTGTATCGCGAATTAGTGCATCATCAAGTTTTGTCTTAGACTATGCTGAGTCGAGAGCTATACTCTTGTGTATCGTCGAGTGCATCGCGAGTTGTAGCGTGGAGAGTACGTGGCGTTCCGAGAATGACCACGCAGAGCTGTCTCCACCGTTATTGCCTGACAGTGTGAAGGTAGTGTCACTGAATGTGTCAGCGTGTTTATAACAGTTCAATGACTGTAAAAGTGATTTTGAACCTATCTGATTAATATTGGTAAATAAAATATGTTCAATACTTCATCAAGTGTCGTCGTTATTCACTCCAAATCTACGAACCCTTTACGAACGTGAAGGAAGAAAATAATGTAGTAACTGCTATCAGAAAAAAAAAAAAAAAAAAAAATTTAACAATTGGCGTCAGGAGTGGGGTTTGTGAGTGAATGCCAGTGACTCGCCTGCAAAGGAAACGAAGACTTTAATGGACTTCTTAGCCAAGATAAAAGCCGGATATGAATAGATGAAGGCTGAAATGAAAGCTGGATATAAAGAGGTGACAGCTAAGATCAAATCCGGACTGAAATAGATGAAAAGCCAGATGTGATGAGATAAAAGCTGGATATAAAGAGATGACAGCTGAGATCAAAGCTAGACTGAAAGAGAAGAAAGCCCGACGAGAAGAAATAAATGGCGGCCAAGAAAACGTGCGAAAGCAACTCCAACAGGTGAAAGTGGAGCTTACAGAAGAAACTGGAGGCATAAAAGACGATGTAGAAATGAGACAAGTGGCATCTGAAGAATCAAATGATGAAGAAATGAAGGAAGTAGCTAATGGAGTGGCTGAGAAAGATTCTGAAATGAAGGATGAAATATTTAACGAGATTAAAGACAGAGATTGAAAACATGAAGAAAATACAAGACGGGAAAGAAGCTTTTGATTCACAAGTGCCTGAAGGGGAAGAAAGTGAAAATGTGACTGCTAAGTTCGTCAAAACTGATAGTGAACTTACGAAGTCACAGGCAGTAGTGTTGAACCATCTGAAAGTGCATGTGATGCAGAGATGGAAGATGCTGAAGTGCAACTTAAGCAGTGCGCTCCAGTATTGCAAGACAATTCACACACTTCACAGACTGGGTGTGTGCCTCATAGTGCAGGTTTTGCAGACCAGGACTTGATTCTAAACCCGGATACTTCTGCTTGTAAAGGATCGGATTCTATTCATTATTGTGGTGCAAACATCGGAACTGGTTTTCAGGAAATATAGGTAAATAAGCATGTACCATCTGCTAATGATACCGAGGTGAACAATACGCATGCTGCGAGTGATCTACAGAGTGGTGTACGAACTGTTTTAGATTTTCCTGTGGATGAAAACCTTGAAAGAACTGAATCTCCAAACTGTGATATGCAAAACATAAATATATCTGAAAACTGCAGTGGAAAAGTATTTGACCCGGGTATATTTTAGTGAATAGACTGAGACTGAAATTCATTCAGAACTTTAAATTTAAATTTGTTATGTGTTTAATTTGTGTATATAACTTGTATATAGTGTAAATATTTGCTTCTTTAGTTATGTTATTTGTTTGTTTAGAACCTTTTGTTTGTATCGAATTATGCTTCTGACCAAGGGTTGTACTGCCCGGGACGTGCAGTTCTTGGGAGGGGCCAGTGTTACGAAATGTACAGGCGCGGTAAGATGGCTTCCCCGAAAGCAGTTTTAGGGTGGCCATAAAATGGCAAGGGAAGGCGGGGTTGCCACATTTGACGAGAAATCATCCATTTGGCTACGTTTGGCGCCAAAATTGGCAAAGCATCCATTAACCCCACAGGTTTTTCCTTTAAAGAATGTTAGACTATTTAAAGACACGGTAAATATTTTACCCGATCTCTAAATACTGGCATTCAATACGCGAAAAACATATCACTAAACAGAAACTACACTGTTATGAAATTCGCTTCACTATCAATAAGTCCATGCTTTGTGGTCAAGAAGGCACCTGAAAAATTAAACTAAATCCTTGAGAGCACTTAAACCGGCAAAAAGCCGCTCACTGTAGTTACACACGAGAAATCACAGCTTGGAAAAACACTTGTGTTGAAGATGCCGCCCACGGCAGTCGCTCACATTGTTGCCGCTTTTCAAGATCCAGAAAAAGTCATCTTTCGGACTGGAACCACGGCACTTATCACTGGACTGCACGCATTGCAATGGGGGCTGGAAACGGCACACCACAGGGCAATAAAACAGGAACCAGAAAGAATAAGCCAGAGCGACGCGAGATACTTATACCTGAAGTAAACATGACGTCATCTCACGGCAATCAATCAGCTATCGGCACAACTCAGCTTTCCAGATGACGTAACATCAAGTTTCGTTTTTGCATCTTAATTAGGCTGGAACAGTCCATTCTTAATACAAACAGTGGCAGTGAAAAACGAAGTAAAAATAACTACTATATCCCTTTAAAATAAGAACTAAACCTTATGTAAAAGTTGAAAATATTTCAAGGAGGTTTGGTTTGGTTTATTAGATTACGGCAAAGCACTATTAGGGAGGGCTATCTGCCTTAAGGGAGGGGTGCCTTCGTGGAGGACTTTTTAAGGGAAACTGGCTCGTATACACGTTACACATGGGGAAAACCACATATTTCAAGGAGGAGAGATGATGCAGAAAAAGGGTTACAATAGGTCATATTTTCCAAGACGCATAATGTGTTAACACATGCGCATAATACCTTTACGCTTGCGTATAATACGCATGCGCATTTAATGTATAACGGCCGGTATAAGCTAAGCTGAAATTATCTAATTATCTATTTCAGTTAATGTCGCAGATTGCGTTGTTCCTTAATCTTGGAATTGGAACCGGCTTATTATTTTTTGCAGACTTTTAGAGCAATTTTATAAAAGTAAGCTTGAACTTTCGATTATGTCGAAAAGAATTTCTGATTCTGGAGCTGCCAAGAGATCTGCAAAGCGAAAGCATATTTCAATGTCCATCAAACAAAAAGAGGAATTGCTGCAAAAAATGGATAAAGGCATATCCTTTGTTTCTCTAACCATTCTGAAGTCGAAATCTGTTTATCAATTTCACACTGCTCTGCGGGGGGGGGGGATGTTGCAGCGCACAATGAATTGGAAGTTGATCTGTCAGAACTATCCTTATCTTCCGGGAAGATGTGTTTATTTTATTCGGCTTATAATTCCTTATTATATATAGTATTTCATCTCGATGTGCTCCGTCTTTGATATGATTTAAATCAAATTTGTCGTTATTATAAATGTTACAAATACACATCAAATAGTTTTCTGGCATGCAATTTTCTAATTTCGACTATGCATAATGTATGCTTTATGCATGCGCGCGTTGAAAGAAATGTTTAACAAAGTAAACAAATAAATATTAAGCTTTTTTTTTTTTGTAAATTTTGATAC